TCTGCATGCGAGGGAAGGTGAGACTGAGGACGCCCGCTACGCATGTCTGGTTAGCAGGACTGCGGTAATATGGAGGCTGGAAACACTCACCAAAGGTGTTGTTGATGCACACGGCCCAGGCCATGCCTTGCTCTCGTTGAATGGTGGGGAACACCTCAGCAGAGTACTGGAAAGCGACGGGTCCTTCACCTAGGGAGTAGCAGATCGTGAACAGGTAGATAAACCTAGTCGAGTCGTGTCAGCCAAAATGCACCTCGGAAAACATAGTGTACAAACGTACAGGACAACGGGTCCGATTTGGGCCCCTCTGCTACCGGTATCATTCAGAAGCGACAGACCGCCGGCCAGGAGGAAGATGCACATGAGGGGGAAGGTCTTCATGGGCAGGACAGTCAGCTATGGTCTGGAACCAGGGTGGGGATCACTCACAGCCAATGTCAGGGTTCGTCGACCTTTGGTGTCGATGAGGAAGAGAGTAGGGATAGTGGATACGACCTGAATGGCACCGTAGCCAAGAGACGCGTATAAGGCCTGCTCAGGGGTGTAGCCGACCTTTTCGAAGATCGTGGAGCTGTAGAAAGAGATGACTGCCAAGGGTTAGGGCGAACCAGAAGGTAGACCAACCACACAAACAGTGACTTACTGTTGATACCGCACATTTGTTGCGCGATCATGACGGTCGAGGCACCATAGTTCGCGCGCCGAATCCGGGGCACGGCAAAACAGTCCCACATACGGGCGAAGTAACCGGCACCGCGAGCCTCCTTGAGCTCCTCTTCGTAGATAATCCACGAATAGTAGTAGTCCCGGGCGGCAATGATGGGATGGGCTCGCAAGCGCGACATGGATCGGTATCCGGCCGCAAGTTTCCCATGCTTCATCAGCCAACGAGGGGACTCGGGGCAGAAATAGATACCGACGCCGAGGATGAAAGATGGGATGAATGCCGAGCCAAGTTGGAGACGCCAAGAGATATCTCCCGTGTCTTTCACAATCACGTTGGCGCAGAAGCCCAAGAAAATACCTGTTGTGACCATTAGCCATGTTGTGAGACAGGAGACCGAACATCACTCACCCGCTACCACCCACAGCTGCCAGAACATGACGAGCGCGCCTCGAATGCGCGCCGGGGCCATCTCGGCGGAGTAGATGGGCACCGTAGCATTCTTGGCACCGATGCCAATACCCATGACGAATCGTGCTGCGAAAAGCCCTTGCCATGATTTGGCGAAGGCGGACCCGATTGGGGTGGCCGTGAGACAGCAAGCCGTGACGAAAATCTCGCCGCGTCGGCCCAAGTAGTGGTTCAGGGGATCAACGATGAAAGCGCCACTATATCCCAGGTCAATCAGAAAGCCAAACGTATCATCGTTTCTACCACACTCACATGAGACCTGCCGTCAAGAAAATGATGGCATTGATAACTCCCACGATCCATTCATCTCTCCCTTCGCCAGTCAGACCAAATTCCTGTGGAAAAGACAGGTTGGCACCGTTGGATCCCGTCTGATCCCATCCTTGGGTGGCGGCTCCGACGGCGCACAAGGCAATCGAGTACCAGAGCATGAAAGGGCCGTGCCATTTATGATCGCGCTCGTAGATAAGGGCGGCGCGCTCCTCCTCATTAAGCTCGGTAATCATCTCGAAGCGTTGGGGGTCCCGCGCGACCAAAGCCGCGCGACCAAACAGATCTGCGTGCTCCGCCATCTGGTGCGACTCGGCAAATGCTCGGGCATCGAGCACAACTTGCTCCGGAGAGCTGCGCTACGAGGGTAAGCCAAGTCAGCATCATCACCGATCGATCCGACCATCGTCAAATGGCCAATCTCACCGTCAGCGGGTTCTCAACGAGATTGAGAGCGAAGGACTCGCGGCGGTCAGCGGGGTCCGCCAGTCCTGGCTTGGTGGCCTGAGCCAGGGTCTCATTGTGAGCGGTCACACCCATGGCTGTCTTTTCGTCCATGGTGGTGGTTGGGGTTCTGGTAGAGCTTGAGAGCGATTCTGAGTCTTCCCTCCGGACGCCTTCTTGGGTTTTATCTCGCGGGGTCGACGAGCTCCTCCCTTCCCCCCGTGGGGATGACCTTAAATCTTTAAATCCTGCATCCGGCCATGGCGCGATACCGTCAACGCCCCGTGGGGAGAGATCCTAGCGTCGTGGCTCGGCGGGTCATCCAGACAGCAAATTAGGGCACACCGCGCTGGTGACTGGTCGCGTGGTTGCAAACTTGACCCACCGGGAAGGCGGTCAAAGCGGAGGTTGAAAGAAAACAAGCCCTAGAATCAAGACTCACATAAGACTTGTGGGGTTTCCTGGCAACGTCTTGTCCTGGTCTTGGTTCGTCAATCGTGCCCTCCACAAACCAAATGGCTCCTTCGCAGTCGAAACATGGTTAGAGCGCTGGAAATCTGCCTTTTCATTCTCACGGGAATCGTGATACGAGCGGCAGCACCGAATCCGACAGCCGGCCGCCACCAGCCGCCCTGAATGCAACCTTTGTGATCAATGTGGCTTCTGGGGGAGCCTATGAAAGTCAGATCCCGAGTCAGACCATGCCTCTCTTGATCTTAGGTGAGAGACGGTCCTTCCACTAATCATAAATGTGATTCCCCGGGCATTTCCCTGATGCGGGAGACTAGCGCAGCCACCAACGCGGCTTTGTTCTCTACTGGAGTCTTCGGGATGGCCTCAGCGACTTTTGATTAGCTGCTTGGCAACCTTCCTCCACTTGGGTCTGCCCAACCTAAATGCCACGCGAACCTCGCCAGTGTCAGAGAGTCTTCGAACCTACCAGAAAAATCGGATACGGTGCTTTTCTCCCATGTTCTTTGTGGTTAACAGGGCACGCTTTCAGACAACCTTTTTCTTTTGTCTGTTTCCTTTGTTTATGGAATACTGTTTCTCATGGGAAAAATGATGCATGACAAGCCGATCATTGTCGCAACCAGCCTTTATCAAGCTCACCCATGGATCCAAACAGGGCGCTTTGTCGGAGGCTAGTGGATGTGTCAGTGCTACCCTTGTTGGGTTTCTTCCGTCAGCCTGCTGGTGTTTCGCCGAGGGTCACAACTTGTTTACCCAAGGTTTGCTTTTGCCGATCAGTATCCTTAATGGCCTTAGTCAGTTCGGAATTGACCAAAGGAAACTGGGGTGCCGGTGGTTGATAACACCACTCGCCCGGACATGCACCGAGAAGTTTTGATCCTAATCCTTCGCACCGTTATTAGGCCTCTTCCGGATCCTGGCCTCTCTGCCTTGTCACGGTGAGTCAGGCCGATGCGAAAAAACTTCCGGTCCCTACATCCTGGTGAAGCATAGAAAAATTCAAACCACCCTTAGACAAACAAAAATGGGGCGCAGCGATCCAGACGCCATGGCTTTCACGGCGGGTACTTTCTCGTTTTTTTCCTTTTGTTGTTCTTTGTCCGTAGTCTGGACCTTCTATCCGACAGGAATCGTTAGGTCCCTCGTTCGCGTTCGGGAAGACAGCATGGAAAGTGCTGCTTCTCCCCAGGTCATCGGGCGTTGACTGACCAGCCCACACGACATTTACTCTTTTTTGCACAATGACCAGCGAGCTCGACAGAATCGTTGACTTGCTTATGCGCCCTCGTGCGATTACGATGCAGATATGCGGGCACAAGGCTTCCAAAATACTATCAATAGCATGTTATGATTGCTAGAAGCGAGGCCTGCCTCGTATCAGAATGCCATGTCGCGACTCAAGTTCGCCTAGCCTGCCGCAGTACGGACCACGCGCCATGAAATAAAACGTCGCTGACTCGACTGGTGGCAAACAGATCTCGAAATCCCTCATAATCCAGTTGCCCTTGTCGCTCACACCTCTCGAGTAGTTGCCGCAGATTTCCTTGCATTTGCATTTGCTCGGTAATTCGACTTTCGCTATTTGTACAAGCGCTCCAGATGTTGGACAAAGTCGTGGACCGAATCACTGCGAATGTACGCAATTCTGCCTTCATATATGCGCGTAACAAGTATTGCATAGTGTATCGGAATACATGCCATGTCAGGATGCCTGTAACGTCAAATAGATATGCCTTTCAGTGACCTCGCAGACTAACAAGAAATACGGCGCCGTAGTGTACCCGGGGGTTCACAGCGGGGGAGACGCCACGCGATTCACTGTATATATCGTGGATTGTCATTTCAGTGAGTTTTCCGAGCTATGATATATCCAAAGTTAGTAAAGTTAAGTAATTAAATAAGGAAATGATGATGTGTACAAGTGAACGTTGGAGTGCGCCTTGCTTCTTGCGCGATCGCGATCACATCATGTGAAAATGTGTGCCTCAGGCTGCCATCACCAGATCAGATCTCGGATCTCGTTGCCCCGACAATTATCGAAACTTCCCGAGAACAAATGCAACCAACGATGTCACTCTCAATAGTATCATTCGAGGCAAGGCATAATTTTCCGGCCGAAATGAAGCATCCGCAGCTACTTAAATCTATGAGCTACTTCAGTTTGTTATACTCACGTTCCTTTTCTCATCCATATTGTACTATAGGTGCACAGCGTCTATGTGTGCTGTAGTCATGGAGACAGCCGTTGCAATATATATATTTTAGCAATCGCTCAACTCAGCGTTACAAAACGTTTTATTATTGCAGCGTCCTAACACGACTTACTTTGTTAAGGGTTTCAACTACTGCCAATGCTTGGCTATCTAGTCCATGCCATGTTATCTTTCGACTGAATACAGGGGTAATAAATCTTTGGGTGCTGCCCGGGTGGATGGTTGAGAGGATGAGGAATTGTAGAGATTTATTCCACAATCAATCTGGATCATGCCAAGGTCGAGAGAGCATTATTTCCGACGAGAGATCATTACCAGATTAGGTTGCTGAAGCCGACCCTATTTTAATCTCCGAGATCGCTCATCGTCTGAGAAGGTGACAGGATGTATCTCAACATGAGTGGTGTTGAACACGAATGACCATCAATTGTGACAGCAGTCCCTGATTCTTACCCAGCGGAAACATGCGTTACTTCTTTCCTCTAGCCATTCCTGCTATAATAGCAGCTCAAGCCGTAGCTCTTGAAACCAAACAACTATTCAATTTCTCCACCGCAGTTGCTATCGAGAATAGCGCCCTCCGGCCAGATGGCAGCCTTCTTCTCACCACTTTCGACCAAGGTCGTCTCTACACTCTCAATCCATCCCTACCCAATCCCCAAGCGGAGCTAGTCACGGCACTCCCCGGAGCCACTGCTCTCTGCGGCATTGCAGCGATCGACACCGACAAGTTTGCCGTCATAGGTGGCATTCGGGGCAACTACAGCTACACCAATGAGACGATATACACCGTGGATTTTAGCGTCAACCCCATCAATCCGACCATACAAGTAGTTTCTCAGCTCCCCAATGCCATTATGTTGAACGGCATGGCCGCCTTACCAGCACATCCGCATGTGGTCCTGGCCGGAGACGCACGACTCGGGGCTGTATTCCGCGTCAACACAGACACAGGCGCCGCAGAAATTGCCTTCACAGACCCCTTGCTTACTGTACCTTCAAATGCATCCACCCCGATTGGGGTGAACGGGCTGAAGATTGCGGGCGGTTATATGTACTTTACAAATACCGCAAGGGAGATCTTTGCGCGGGTACCCATTGATGGCTTTGGAGAGAAGAACGGTGATATCGAAGTGATTGCAACCCTGAATGATGCAGATTTGTATAATTGGGACGACTTCGTGGTTCTAGAAGATCTTGGTGTCGCCTTCCTGGCCCAGCCGGATACTGCCATAGCACAAGTTGCACTGGAAGGAGAGCAAAATATCATTATGGGAGGAGGGGACGATCGTACGACGGTGGTAGGACCGACATCGCTGGCAATCACACAGGATGGCAAGACCCTCTATGTCACAACTCGAGGGGGCACGGTGAATGGATCTGTGTATGGTGGGCAGGTGGTTCGGATTCAGCTCTAAAGGAGGAATACGACATGCATGGTTTGTGGGCTGAATGGTTGTTGAGTGGATGCTCAGTGCATCTTGAAAACAGGCGTCGCAGGACCAGACCGAGAATGCTGATGTCTGTAGTCTTCAGCGCCAGAACGCACCCTAATGGCTTTCTGGTTTTCTATTTAATATAAGGATATTGTTGGATATGGCATCTCTCAATGAGGTATACTCCGCAAGGAATTGCCACCAACCACCGGAGTAAAAGCCTTACGCCGAATACTGTGACGGTGAAAGTATCCACTTCTAGCTATGGCGGGGGGTGTGAAAAAAAAAAAAGAGAAAATTAAGAAAGAAGGGAAAATTTAGAAAGTTTGGAAACGAACACTCTAGTGTGACTGATCTCCCCGTGCTCCTTTGCAACCCTTAACACGGCTTCCTTGCAGCCGCTCTCGGCTTATTGATCTCGTGCTTGTCGCATCCTGGAATGTTGACAGTGGTTAGTCTGCATCGGAGCTGAAGTTCTTCGGATCGCTTAGCATCCCTGGCCATCCTGGCTATTTCGAGCATTCTAGAGGGACAGGATAACCAGGGCGACCGCGACTCGTTCGAAGAAGCTTCACGGCTTTTGGCTGAGCTAAAAGACGCCGGGAATTGTGTCGCCCCGGAATATTGCCACCACGTTGAGGTCATTGATGCTGTCAGAGAACTCTGGTGTACCCGGAAATGGGGCACCGCCAACATCCCAGCTGGCCCTGACTATGCCGCGCGGGGGCCTCCTATGGACCGATTCATCGCTTCAACAGCTCCATTCCCAGCCGGCTCTTGATGTGCAGTTTCTCGAAGACGCTGTCAGCGACAGTTGGTCGCCGGGGCGCTACGGGCCTGGCTTCGGCAATGTAGGTTGATATACGAGAGTCTTAATGTCACTGAAGAAACTTTTGGATTTCTGTAAACCATACGCAGACTCTACGGAACACGATCTTTTTTACTCCGACCATTGGTCAGTGCAGCCTATTGTGCCACGGCCGCCGTATGATGTGGAGGTAGTCGTCCTGCCATCCGTATCACGTAGCACTTGTTGCACCAGTGTATGTAGATGATATAAAAATATGCTGTCAGTATGTAGTTTACCGGTTGAGCCCCATATAAAGGAGTTGTAATTTCACAGATCATAAGTCAATCTTATGACAGTATACTTCCACGTGTGGGCTCGGTCGCTAAGCTTTTCGCCGAATCCATTTTATTTTTATCTCATTTGGCTTCCAAGGATTCTTTCTCCATTCGCCTTTCTTTCCCCTGACTTGTACACACGCCAAGTCTCTATTACCCTTTACAACAGAAGCATCTCACTATTTGGCGGTCATGTCTGCCCGAGTACCACTGCGCCTAATGCCACTGGGCGGATCGGTGACCAAGGGAGTTGGCTCATCCCACGGCACGGGGTATAGAAAAGCACTACTTGAGCTTCTTCAAGCGCAGAACTTTGAAGTCTGTATGGTCGGGTCGCGCAGGACAGGCCCAATGCCCAATAACGACCATGAGGGATGGCGCGGAAACAGAATCGACGAGATAACAAACAAGGCTATGAAGTCGGTCGAACGTTTGATGCCCAATTTGTTAACCGTCAACGCGGGCTCCAATGACTGTATTCAAGCGTTTAGAGTCGACGAGGCGGGGCAAAGAATGAACGATCTGTTGGAGTATATCTGGCATGCGTCGCCGAACTCGACTGTCCTTCTCTCCACTCTCCTGGTCAACTCGGATAAGCAGGTGAACGAGTGAATCATGCACGTTAATGACCAGTTCCGTGCTCAGGCCGAGAAAAAGGCGGCCTTGCAGAGGAGGATTATTCTTGTGGACCTTTATAATGATGGACCTCATGTTGATGGTCTGGTTGATGGCATACACCCCAATGATGAGGAATACGACGAAGTGGCACTTCTTTGGTTTAATGGTATCCAGAGGACCCTGGAGAAGGGCTTGATAGTGGGACCGAATGACGCTGGAATGTAGTTCACTAGAGCACTTTCGTGACTCGATTACTTGTATCAAGTCCTACTTAGGTGTATCAGTGACAATTGTCTTGTGTACAGTGCGGACGGTCTGGCCGAGTGCACGACAAAATCGTTCCATATTAAAGTAATTAATAGAGGAACGGACATTATAACCGTTGCCACCACATGGAAATCAAAGGTTCCTATCAGGAATCCATAGTCAGAATTCAGGGACAAACTACAAATTCACCTTCGAGGTGTGGTAATATGTGACCAAGCACCGGGCGCCTGGAGACCGCTGAGCTGATCTCGTGTCAGATATGGTAGAGGAATGTCAGAATCGTCAAACCTATACACACGACCTTGCTATTCCGATCAACCCGACAAGCAATACCATACATGACTCTCAGCCCAATTCAACTACTTCCGACCGTCACGCATTTCCCTTTGTCATGCCTCCTGCGAGTTCTCAACTTCCCGAGTAGCTTCCATAAACCTTTCGATCATATTGTCAAGATCGGCTGTCGTTATGAGGTCTTTCCTCTTTTCCCACCCGAGCTCGACGGGAAGCCGTTCTTTTTCTACAGAGAAATTACATTAGACATGAACAATATTCTGAATGAAGTTGAATACACACCGAAAAGATACTCGATCCAAGATGTGTTGACAGTCGCCGAGACCTTGTCGCCGAATACAAGGAGGTACGTGGCTGTCTGTGCATAGCTAAAGCGAAGGCGTGACCCGGAGAGGTCAAATGTAGGGTTGGTAGCCTTGGACGTGTTTATCCGTGCGAGACGGGCTCTCGCTCCTGCGTGGAGATCGATTAAGGGTTCTGTCCAGTATGACTTCGCTTGGTCGAAGAGGGTCTGGTTGAAGGAATGGTTGTCTCCGAAGTAGAAGTCTCCACGGCTAAGATCATCAGATGGTTAGATTTCCCGATCAGGTTGGGGAATAATGTTCACAAAGGGTCTGAACTTACCTCAGACTTCCATCATGCTCGATGATGTTGTGATGATCCAAATCGTCAAGAGAAAATGTGGTGGCATTGGGTTTTAGGTTAGTCTTCAACGCTGCTGCGAAGAGTATGTCTGAAAGCCCTTTATCTACATGCAACGCGTCCATGGCGCGAAATGTATCTTGCTGCGTGATATCTTTCCCATCGTGTTGGAGGATGTTATGATTGGCAAGTGCATTCAGCACGGGGCACGGACTGCGCACTGGTGGTCTTTAGCTTGGTATTTGAACCGTCTACAACACTTCATCTTACCATCATCAGGCCCAGGGGGTGACCAAGGTATTTCTGGTGATAATGCGCTCGCAAGCGCAGCAGATACCGCTAGTAGAGTCAACCTCATCTTGATGTTTTGTTTGGTGTTCAGCTCCAGTGTTTAGGCGGATTTTGGGGGTAAATATACTCCCCGGTTCAGAACTAGAAATAGGAGCAGTTGACCTATTCAAACTATTTCATTGGCCTATGTATCCAGTAAGGAGGGAGAGCGCATTCCTGAAATATGCAATAATCCTGCACCTGAGATATGTCACATGGACAAAAATGAAAGCAAGAGTCCAGACCCACGCAGATGCAATATCGATGCTGGCGAGCTCAATGCACATATGATACAAAGTACTGCAGGACATGATGTCATAATGTGATTCACAACCTGAACTCGGAGACCTACGATGTTTTCACTATTCCTGGATTGGACAGCTCGGGAACGAGCACATCTCATGGGATATGGTTTGCTCCAGACTCTGCATTAATATTGATATTCCCCAGTTCAGGTCCTGTGATGCGGGATGCCCTAAGAGGATGCCAAGCCCTGCCTCATCTACCGAGGTTGATGAGATCGACAAAGCCATTCAAGAACCATTCAAGAACAAGGTGCTTGTTCGCACTTTGTATTGCTTGTTTTTTTTTTTTGTTGCCTTTGTCAGCCTTGTATGATGTCGTCTCTTGGTCTACAGGGGTAATCTCTGACAATCCCCCAGGCTACAGGCTACAGTGGCATCCACCTTACCAGACTGCGACTAGTTCCTGCGCTATGAAGACGCTAGCGTCGTGAAGATATACGGGATGGGGCTAATATTATCAGCACAGACGATACGAAAGAAAACCGAGGTAGACCGAGTCCGCACAAGCCATCGTGGTAAAGGACAACGCCGACCTCCTCCACTTCCCCGACCGGAACGTTCCCACAGCTTCCCACAAAACCATGACAGATTCACCCGCTCAACCAGCAACGCCTGCGGTCCACCATCCCGCACGGGCCGCGGTTGCCTGTACGCAATGTAGACAAAAACGTCTGAAATGCAATTCGGGCTATCCTCAGTGCTCGCGGTGCTTGTCCGCGGGGTCTAACTGCACGTACATCCCCTCGCGGCGTGGCCAACGCCCGCCCAAAAACCGACCCGAGCTGGACTCGGTCTCTCAGCATATCTCAACCTTCGCCATCCAGACCCCGCGATCCTCCTTTCTCCCGGCCACCCCGAATACTGCACTGCCTCTCTCCCTCGCGGACACCCCGGCACCAGGGGAGGTGTCGCAGCCGGTGAACCTCGCTCCTGGTCCGGCCTCGGCGACCTCCCCAATGACCAGCTTCACCACCACGGCCACCACGTCATCTCGCCTCCATTACAATGAACGCCTGGTCAACTACTACTTCAGCAACTTTCACCCCGCGCATCCCATCCTCCTCCCGCACTCGCTGTACGCCACGCAGGGCTACCCGGACTACCTGCAGGTGGTTGTGCAGTTCGTCGGCAGCCACTATGCATCGTCCCCGGTCGATTGGCAGACGCGAGAGGAAACCGTCCAGGCCATCATGAGCAGCAATAGCCCGCAGACGCCGGAGATGGTCCAGGCCCGGTTGATCTGCGCCCTGGCGATCCACGCGCGCTACGAACTCATGGACTCGTTCACGATCTTCCAAGCGGCAACCGACCTGGCCATTCAACTCGGCATGGACTGCGCGAGCTTCGCCGTGCAGCATGGGAACCAGAACCACATGCTCGAGGAGAGCCTGCGACGGACCTGGTGGGAGCTAGTCTTCAGCGAAGGCATTCTCTCCGGTCTCTACCGCCACCAGCGATTCACCCGCGCGACCTACTTCTCCGACGTCCTCCTCCCCTGCGAGGAGACCGACTATGAGAACCTCACCATCCCCGACCCCTCTAACCTCGTGTCGCTGACCCAATTTGACAAGAGGATCTTCAACCCCAACAGCATCGAGTTCTCCTCGTACTCCTATCGCATCGAGGCCGTTCGTATCTTCGTGAACGTTCTCACCCTGACCGAGCCAGACTCTAACATGCGCCCGTCGCAGGTTCATGCCGTGGACCACGCCATCGCCGGCTGGATCCACCATCTCCCAGACGTGAAGGGAGATATCCTGCAACCGGACGGCAAAGGCGACGAGATGCTCTTCCAAGCGTACATGATCGTGCAGTACGCCAGCATGTTCCTGCATTTCCCGCGCAGCGATCTCATCTCCATGCTCCCGAATCCGGACATCGCTTGTGCGCAGAACGAACCTCATGTGTCGCCGACGACGTCCCAGCGTCTGCACGGGCTGAAAGCGATTGTCGCGTCCAAGTGGATCTTCAACCTGGCAGCCTTGCGGCTCCCGGTGATCAAGCACACGCCGCTGTTTATTTGCGCGCTGCTGAGTGCAGCGATCGTGCAGTTGTCTGCATTATCCAAGAGGAGTCAAGACGAGAATATCGACATCATGGAGTGCTATGACTCGATGTACCTGGCGATCGGGGTGTTGAAGTCGTTCAGTAAACATTGGCCCTTAGGGCAATCCGCGGTGCAGGAGCTGCAGAAGGTGGCCAGCGAGGTCTTGAAGGTGCAAACGACGACACAGACCTTACCGGAGGAGGATGGCTGGACGTGTAATATCGACTTTGAAGGGGTTCAAGGGTTATTACATGGGAATCGCGATATGACGGGTTGACGAAAGAGTGCTAGAGAGACTTTAGCGCCAGTGGGGATGTCTTCGTTAGCGTGCTGGAGAACTATGCAGATTAGGTAAGAAAAATAGACGTAAGAAATTCGAATTCAAATGCAATCCGATCGAGTGATCCCAGAACGAATCAACGCAATCTTCAGCCCTCAGAAAATCACTCGGATCGTGCTATATTGTGCCCGTACTTTTGTTGATGACCGATGTCGGGGATGTTACCCGTTGAAGCGATCAACACGGCGTCGCGTAAATTAGTCGGTTTGGCAACTTTAGCAGCCTAGCCAGATCTTTTGCCCCTTCCCCAACCTCAACAATCCTGCGAGTCGAAGACGTGATCAAAGCCACATATGAATGGACAGCCCAGCTCTGAGTCACTTCAACGAGAGCATATAAAGCCAACGCGACCGAAGTAGCCGAGTGATTTAAGGGGGAAAACGTGGCATGGGAACGAGCTAAAAGAATAAATAAGAAAAGAACCACACCATGGGTGGCTTCTCCAGCGCAGCGAGCAAACTGCACCGCACTCTGAAGCTCAGCGGCGATACCGATCAATGGAGAAACCGAGATCTGATACCCTTGTCTGCAGGTAGGATTTAATGTGGGGATGCGAACAGGGGTCTTTACAGGGGTCGTGACGGTGCTAACCCTCGAGCATAGATCGTACGATCTGGTCCAGCTGGGACTTCCTCTATCTGTGGAGCACCGTCTTCTTCACGACATTCGGCTGGCAAATCACTTCGTCGCTCTCGGCCTCGGTCTAAATGTCTGGCAATCTATCCTCTGCAACATCATTACGAAATTCCTTCAGACCGCCGTGGTGTTCTGTGTCGGATGGCCCGGTGGAGTCTGGCACATTGGCTTCACCGTCAACTCCCGCTCCGTGTTTGGAATGTGGGGATCGTATGTGCCAGTCATTCTGCGCATTTTCCTCTGCATTATTTGGTATGGCGTCCAGGCGTTTACGGGCGGCCAACTGGTGGCGATTATCCTGTCGACGATCTTTTCCGGCTACCATCATATGGAGAACACACTCCCGGAGTCGGCGCATATGACCACCAAGCAGTTCGTTGGATATGTCATCTTTAATATCAGTGAGTGTGCCTTCCTCTTATTTGCGCCCGCAACATGGGATCTGACGCGGTACAGTCTCGCTCGGACTCTTGTGGGTGCCCCCGGACAAGCTGAAGAAGCCCTTTAAGTTTATCGCCGGTATTAACCTGCTCGTCATTCTGGGACTGGCGATCGGCCTCATCGCTGGTGCCCGAGGTGGCTCCCTGGGGACCCTCCAAACGTCCCAGCGGACAGACAACCTGGGATGGACCTTCATCCACGGTTTCGCGGTCGTTTTCTCTGGCAACGCGGTCGGCATGGCGAGCCACAGCGATTTCTCACGTTTCGCTCGGCGACCGGGGGCTCAGGTTAAAGGCCAGCTCTTCTCATTCCTGATCTCCGGGAACGTTGTGCCCATCCTGGGGATTTTTGGCACCGCCGCCGCCGCGAAGATGTATGGCGACGTGAACGAACTGGGTCTGTGGAACCCACCCAATATTCTGCAAATGTGGCTGGACAACCAGTACCATAACCCGGCCATGCGAGCTGCGGCATTCTTCGTCGCGTTCGGGTTGACATCGAGTATCATGGCCATGAACTCCATCGAGAACGGTGTCTCGGGCGGCATGGACATCGCCGGACTGTACCCCCGGTACTTCAACATCCGTCGTGGATCGTATCTGTTGGCTGCGATTTCCGTGGTGATCAACCCGTGGCAGATCATCGCCAATGGCGCCATTTTCACCAACACTCTGAACAGCTTCGGAGGTGAGTTTTCTCGGGCCTGATACACCCCTAGTCGATCCCACACACTAACCCCGCCAGTCATCCTGTTTCCACTCATGGGCACCATGGTCGCCGACTACTACATCGTTCGCAAGCAAAAACTTAAGCTGTCCGACCTCTACCGCGCCGACGCGAGCAGCATCTATTGGTTTGAGGGTGGTTTCAACTGGCGTGCGTTCACGGCCTGGTTGGTTGGGTTTGCGCCCAGTATCCCCGGTCTCGCCGCATTGAATCCAAACAACACAGGAATCCCCATTGGCTTGACGTATACATTCTACTTGTGGCCCATCGCAGGATTCTTTGCGTCGTTCGTGCTGCATGCTGGTCTCTGCTATCTCAGTCCCCCGGCGGGTATTGGGGCGGTGGATGAGCAGGAGTTTGACCCGATGTATACCGAGCGGTCAGACGAAATACAGAGCCAGACCATTACCGCACTGGAGAAGGGCGGACATCCATAGACTGGCTCTGGTCCTCCCATGGCAAACGATGTGAGTTGAACGGGGTTACCTTGGTTGTCCCGACCTTGTACCGGATGGGCGCTGTCTCCGTGTTCCAAGAAAAAAAATTTCATTCTATGTAGTAATAATAGAACTCGCCTAATACATGTCACAATGTGATTTGACACCCGGTGTCCTTCCTTTTCGCAGAACATCCCCGACCGTGTAGTACGTATACATCTGGCAACCCGACGGCAGGAACGGCAGAGATGTACAAGTTGATGGTTAGGCTAACTTCCCGACTTCGCCGAGATGGATCCACCACTGCTTCGGTTGGGATTCTAGCGCTTCTTAGTGGGCCCTGTGACCTGTTGCTGGGATTAAGACCAAGCATTTTGACCAGGATATGCGAGAAGATCTTGGATAAGGTCAGACTAGGGCAATTTGCCATTGGCGATGGTGGTGCAACGGTCAAAGGGTCTCCACATATAAAACCAGTCCGACCGGGCAAACCCCTGTCATCGATCTAGATATCACGATCAACCACCAGAACAGCCATCATGATTGCAGAAATCCACTCTCTTGCTGAGTACGAGGCCGAGCTGGCGAAGCCAGGCCTTGTGGTCTTGGACTTCTACGCTCCTCATTGTGGTCCTTGTCATGTAAGAACCTCCGACTTCTGGTTGTTCAGGATACTAATCGGTCGGGAAGGTAATCGCACCTTTATACAGCAAGATCGCCGAAGACCAAAGCAGCGTACGCTTCTACAAGGTATACCACCGCGACCGTGCTATGTCTGCCATGTCTAATGCACAGTCTCCAGGTCAACGGCGTCGACGAAGCGGGATCCGAAGTGCAGAAGAAAGCAGAGGTCACCTGGTGGCCAACGTTGGTCGTGTACAAAGATGGCAAAGAAATCTGGCGAGACCGAGTGCCAAATCCTCCTTCTAGAAAGCCGTTGGAGTCGTTGGAGTATTACCTGAAGACGGTGGTGGCTTGATTTTAATGTGGTTCATGTTATGGATCAGGTTGTCGGCATTGTATTGAATTTAGTGCATTTTTCTTTGAAATTCCAATGTGATGCATGCCAGATTAAATCGGACAGGGATTATTGCTGCATGTAATCCAAGGCCCCTCCTCTTAGGGGCTTGTCGTGTTTGGTTTTCCTTAGACGCAGAAGAATTCAATCGTCGGGATTGTGGGATGTTTTAGCGCGACTGTCCCGGTCGTCGGCGACATTTCCTTTCGGGGACGTTAAAGATAGCGATAAAGCCGAAGTTGCGCGATCAACGCATTGCAATCGGCATCCCAAGCTGACTAACGATATAATAGGTGGCAACACTGCAAGAGTGCGCTGCAGTCGGAGCTTAGTTAGTGATCTACTCAATCGCTAGAGAGCTAAGCTACCGTATTGGGTAGATTTCGTAGCATGGCGCAGTCAGTGCGGATCGGCGTGGACGTCGGCGGTAAGACAGCAGCTTCGTACATTGCCTTGTATCGCCATGCAGGATCCGCTCACACCGCTTAGGAACAAACACCGACGCGGTGTTAATCGACCTGGGACAGCGAGACGCACCGTCTCGTGGCATTCGCTCATCTCACAAGGCCCCAACGTCCCCGGACGTCACCACGGGCATCCAAGAAGCTATTAACACGGTCCTTCGTGACTCCAAGGTCGCTCCGGAAAATGTGGCGTCCGTTACTATTGGCACAACTGCCTTCCTGAACTCCGTGCTGGAGCAAGACCCCCGCCGTCTAAGCAAGGTTGCGATTATCCGATTGTCGAAATCGTTCCTGCGTGATGTGAAGCCGTTTTCCGAGTGGCCAGCTGGACTGGCTAGTCTCATCAATGGATATGTCGGGTACATCGATGGCGGCCTCCATATTGACGGGTCTCAGGAGGCGCCGGTGGTCGAATCGCAGGTCGTTCGGGAGTGCGAGAACATCAAGGCGCTCGGTTTAACGACTGTCGTCGTGGCAGGTGTTTACTCGCCCATTGATGAGGTGTTCCGGCAGGAGGAAACGGTGCGGGAGATCATTGCCCGCGAGATTCCGGGGGCGGACGTCGTATGTTCGAAGGAGATTGCCAATATAGGTATGTTGGATACTCTGCCCCGTCACAAATCGGGTCGGCGAGGGTATTGCTAACGAACACGGTGGTAGGTTTCCTGGAGCGGGAAAATGCTGCTATCCTCAACGGCGCCATCTTGAGATACGCGCGTCAAACAATCCGACGCTTCCGCAGTGCGATGAAATCCCTTCATCTGCAGTGTCCGCTGTTTCTCACACAGAATGATGGCACCATCATAGACGCGACTAATGCAGCTAAGACACCCATCCGGACGTTCAACTCCGGTGCTACGAATTCCATGCGCGGCGCCGCATATCTAGCTGGAGAGGATCTGGCTAATAAGTCTACCATTGTCGTTGACATCGGTGGCACCACGACTGATGTTGGGGTTCTGCTTCCGTCTGGGCTGCCACGTCAAGCTTCGGCTTATGTGAAAGCCGCGGGAATCAAGGTAAACTATTCCATGCCCCATCTGTACTCTGTCGGACTCGGCGGAGGATCCATTATCCGTGATGCACAGAGCGACGCAAATACCGGGGCTGTCACCGTTGGTCCAGATTCCGTTGGGCATAGACTGCTCACGGAGGGTCTTGTGTTTGGCGGAGAGACTCTGACCGCAACGGATATTGCTGTTGCCGGTGGTCAGTGTGTCGTAGGTAATGCGGAGTCCGTTAAACATCTAGCTCCTGAGTTGGTATCTGCGTCACAGACACGGATCAAACAGATCTTGGAGCGCTCGATTGACCTCATGAAGACCTCGCCAGAGCCACTGCCAGTGCTCCTTGTCGGAGGAGGTGCCGTTCTGGCCCCTGCAGAGCTAGTGGGTGCCTCCAAACTCATCAACCCGCCATTCTTCGATGTAGCGAACGCGGTGGGGGCCGCCTGCGCCAAGGTCGGTGGAACAGTAGATAAAATAACCAGCATCGCAAATAAGTCGATCACGGACGCTGTGGAAGACGCTAAGAAAGCTGCCATTGAACGAGCTATTCAAGCCGGCGCCGTTCCAAATAGTGTTTTTATTGCTGAGGTTGAGTCCATGCCGATTCCATATATTTCCAATCAGTTGAGAACTGTCGTCAAGGCGATTGGAGATTTGGATACTGAGAGGTCAATGAACATGTTTGTTGACAACGATGAGGGCGCCGTGGAGGAGGAGACGATAGCTGACAGCCCCAAGACGGTGGAACACCTTCAAGTGCCGGACGTGATTCCCGTTGATCATCTTACCTACAGGCCGAAGGTTCTCTTCAACGAGAAGGCTGGCTGGCAGGAATGGCTCCTGACAGAAACCGACCTGGACTACATCGCAGACGGAGCGTATGTCCTCGGCTGCGGCGGCGGCGGAAGTCCAGACGCTGGCCGCATTCAACTACAAGAGATGATCCGTCAAGGGTACAAAATCCGGTGCATTGATCATTCCGTCCTGCCGGACGATGCACTCGTCTACTGGGGAGGACGCATGGGATCACCGGCAACCACTGTGGAGCGACTCCAAGCCCACGAAACGGTGGATGCGATCGGCCAGCTCATGCACTACATGGGTCACAAATCCTTCGATGCCGTGATGGGCCTCGAAATCGGTGGGTCCAATGGTCTCGAAGCCTTTCAATGGGGCTCAGATCGATTCTACGATTGCCCCGTTATCGACGCGGACTTCATGGGCCGTGCCAATCCCATGATCTGGCAGACTACAATGGCCGTGTATCGGCCGGGGGAGCTCGCTCCTTGTGCAATTGACTCCGGCGATGGAAGGTCTGTCATCATGCCCCGAGCGGGTGATGATGAGATGGTCGACCGGGTGCTCCGTGCTGCTTTGACTGAAATGGGCTCTTTAGTTGGCTTATCAGCTCGCCCGACAAATGGTGCGGCTGTGAGGGCATTCGCCATTTTGAATACGGTGTCACTATCATGGAGAATCGGGAGAGCCATTGCCCAGGCTGCTCAATATAGTACACTTCTCACCGTGCCAGAAGCCATCATTGCTGAAGTCGGAGGCGCCCAGTCCGCCAAGGTCCTATTCCGAGGCAAGATCTCTGGAATCGAGCAGACAGTATACAAAGGACATTCATACGGCGAGCTCATCATCACCGAAGTCCCCGCCGAGGACGACGACCAGACCACTAATCAGAATTGCTCCCCTGCGGTTGCGCAAGGCGGGCAGCTCCGCATCCCGTTCAAAAATGAGAATATCTACGCAGAGCATCATGCTGCCGACGGCTCGAAGAAGATCATCGCCAGCGTGCCGGACCTCATTTGCATCTTGGACAAGGAATCAGGCAAGCCAATCGGGGTGCCCGAGTACCGCTATGGCTACCAGGTGGTGGTGCTGGGATTAGCCTGCTCTCCACACTGGTCCAAGACGGAACGAGGCCTCGAGATCGGTGGACCGAAGGGCTATGGATATGATTTCGCATATGAGCCGTTGGGCGAGTATGTTGAGCCTAGGAGTGTGATTGATGAGTTCAAGGAGGGTAAGTAGGCCGCACGCAGCAGATCATCGTATAAAATTGTTAATGCTAGCGTTAATGAATACTTTCCACCTCGTGTAAGCCAAATTCCCCACTTAAAGACGACATGGACCATAGATGTGAGAAGGAGAGAATCCGCTCGACAAGATCGAAGTGGAGAATCAAGAGAATTAATTATATACGCCGTATTCTCCACTGGGTTTATCCACTCGGGTGGATGTTGATCCGATGATTTCAGGGGCATGACAAACATGACAAACATTCCATTCGAGCACAAGACCAATATTGGAGCCCAAGGCACGCTTTAAACGACACAAAAGGAGAACCCAAAGGAAAAGACTGCTGAACTAAATATGAGGCTGAGTAGTAACGGCTCTTTCGGATTTTCGGTAGATATTTACAGCTTGGGGTAAGGTCCATGGAGATGATTCCAGATGTCTGTGGTCTTGCCCTCTCGATATATATATTTAAAGAAGTCTTGTGTACGGTCTCAAATTGTCATGAAGTGACTCCGAGCTCTAGACACAGATTGACCTGTTCTGCCTAAACGTGCTATGTCTTATCAAGAGCTGTATACTCGATCTACGGTGTATGCCTTGGCTCACGAACGGGAGTAGTGGACACATTGCAGATCTCTCGTATTCAACCCAATACAGGCAGCAATAATCATCCTTTATAACAGTCATCTTGACGCTCCAGACTACGTTTCTTTTATACAGGTGCACTACGCCTAACGGTCCGCAGTGTGCAAGTTTTTACACGAATAGATGCACTATGAGTTGTAGGTTCCCTAAAGTCCCGGTGCACAATATCGCATGCTGATGGCAAGTCCCCGAAGCTATTGTTGACTGGGTCATGTGGCCCTTTAGGACCCTGGAATTCAGAGTTAATTTGGTCGGTGACTATGACTGTGGCAAGACCACTCTACTTTATCAGATGAAGCTGGGGGAATTGGTGACTACCATTCCGACAATCGGCTTCAATGTTGAGACCGTCGAATACCCGAACAAGTATAAATGGACAATCTGGGACATGTCCAGTGAGTGAGCCCACATTGACAGTGTGCCTGTTCTGCATTGTACTATTATGCCATTTTATAGCTCTGCCCTTCATATTTACTGGCATATCAATGACAAGTTACAGTATCTAGAAGGTCGCGCGAGCAATTGATCCACAGCTACTTTGGGGAGACTGACATTGTTCTATTTATCCACAACTGCGATCCGCAACAGCCCGAGCCCATCTATGATTTTCAATACTTTGTCGACTTTGTGCAGCAGCATGATTGTAGACATCTATGGATTCTCCTTAACAAACAAGACACACTTCCCCCAGAAAGCGCCCCAGAAATTGTCGAGGGCCTGCGAAGGAAGTATAAGGAGGAGATGGCCCAGTGTGGGGATAAACTCTCATGGAGGATTTTAGATCACAGACTCAGTGCCAAAACGGGAGAAGGGGTGCTGGAAATCCTCCGCCAACTTCATTCATCTGCAGATCTTCTTTTGCGGACTCGACCGAGACCCCAGCCCCAACCGAGTGCCGATTCCAAGCAAGAGCCTAAGATAGTGTTTACTCTAGACAAACCAGAGGATACAGTATCCAGTCCGAGTCAGAGCGAGCCTATTAACAAACGAGCATCACAGGATCCTGTTAATGCCCAGGCCTTTTGGGACTCATTTGTTACTGGAGACATACCAGTGTGGGATCATCATGCCCACCTGAAGGTGACCTACATTGTAGTTTTAGAATATGTGAAACGAAGACAAAGTACGTTTGCTATGGCTGATGTCATAATCGCCCATCTAAGGCGATTACAAAACAGTCTGCCAGAGAAGTTCAGAAATAGGGTACATCGGTAAGCTCTGTCCAGTTCAGAAGTTCCTTTAGTTTATACCCAGGAACCGCCCAATAAACTAAGAATTTATTTGTAGTACGATAACGATTTTCTGGATTTTACAGTTACAAATCGTCATCAGAAATTACAGGATCGCCAACAGACTTGGTGAAGACCCGTTATGGATCGACTTTTACAAGGTCTTGTTCCATACACCATCTGTGATGAACCCCCGTCTCTGGAGTTCGTATTATAGCACACAATATCTTTTTCACCCACGAGCATGGAGTTCATGGATCCCTCCTGATCATCAGCCATTGCCCGTCATGACATCCCTTCTTGACAAGCCTGCTAGTTTCTCGACAAAAAAAGGAGATCCCGCTAGACTGATACGATTCGCGTTTGTGTTCATCAGCCAGTGCGAACAGATCTCAGAATCGCGCGACGAAAATGCCATACAACAGGCACTTGTCACACTCCAATCAACGACTATCCGTCTACGGGCTATACACACGGCGACACCACCATATTCCGAAACGCAAGCCCGGTTTTGGTTGCATATGGTCCGCGCATGTCTACAGTCATTGGAGATACCCCAGGGAGACAGTAGAGGAATTATACCGTCACAATTGACATTTGACGGTTTCGTGGCCCTTTTCTGTCTCAGACCAACGTTATGGAAGAGATACTATACCCAAAAGACATGGGATGGTCTCGCTGCTCGAGTCCAGTATGTTGCCCCAGAGAGACGCGCGTTGCCAAATGTTATCAACATATCGGCCCGTAATAGTGAGGTAGAGGCGATAATGAGAGGGATAGAAAAGGAGGCACTACATTCGGACTCAGAATCATTGGAGGATGTATTGTTGGCTACATACACGGAAAGTGCAGAATCGTCTGGGACAAAAGAGCAGAGAGTCGACATTGAGGCTTTTCTTTCATGTTGCGATGATGGTCTAAACCATGAAAAGGGTAGCTTTGTTGATTAGAAGGCATGACGAATATCTGACTGAGCAATATCACGAACGCGTACGCTGCATAAGGGAGACATAAGAAGATCTGGCCTAGAATCATTCATAGCATATGGCTGTTGTAGATCGAGAACATAATACTGTACCAGAGCGACATAGGGTTTTTGTTATCACACGGCCTTTCGGAGACAACGCCAAGCATACATGCTGTAAATCAAGCCGACGGAGCCAAAGTTCAAGGCTCTTCGGAGACAATAGCCGAGACTTGGACTCATATCAAAATTCAACCTAGCGAAGCACATACGGCTTTACTAATAGGACCTATTGATGATAGCATGATTAGCCCACTCCACCAGAAGTGTGAGCAACTAAATAGAAAAACAACTCATATTTCACGAAATTTCCTAGTTGCTGCTTGTGTGAGTATGAATATTTCCAGAGTTGTGGGAGATCGCCAGGTTATCGGAACGCGTGATGAGATCCTCTAGAAGTGAACGCTACTGCGTTAGTGAAGTGGCAGGCCAATATGTTATCTATGAATGGACCCGAATGTACGGTGAATCTAGTCACATTGTCCCGGTAGGGATGATTCTACCTAAATGATAATCAGAGGGGAAGATATAGCCATAGTAAGTTGAATTTATCGGCATAAGAATGTTAAACTAGCGATGTTCAACGGAGTAGCTTAACGATTTCTGTGGATTGATTAAGATAATAGTGCAAATCTGTTTATCGCACCATTTCTGTTGTATTAGGGCCCATAACCCAAATATTACTGGTATAGAAATTATTATAAGCGATGATATTCACAAATAACGGGTCTGGCAAAGTACTAACATGATGTGCGCCCTGCACATTCCCAATATTATGGGCACCCTAAACAGTTTAGTGAATATCTGTACCGGTGACGAGGACTTTTTAATCATTATAGTCGGACTCGTCATCACTCCTCTTTCTCTTGTAATCTGTAGAGTATGGTAGATTTGGGTAAGCTTCGTATCAATGAGATTCTTGTCATCGAAATACAAACGGCGTAGTGTGGCTAGTTGATTGATCGTAGTCAGGTCAAGTGTATAGCAACGGGCGCTTTCTAAGATAGCGATACCTCTTCAAATGGCAGCCATTGAATGCCCCTGCCATACCTTAGGGGTAGCAAGGGTCTCAAGAACGCTGATGGAGAGCAAAAAGTCTTTCAAAAAGTACCCCCGATATAGTCTTCTGACCGCGTTCTGTGACAGTAGGCCTTGGGAGGCAAGGTGTTTCCAGTTGCCATGCATCTGGTATTCCATGGCCGTATACCAAGAATACCATCGCCAATCAACAGTTACAGATGGGCGTGCACAGATGGTCTTGGTGCAGCTTACCCATATAGGCAAGGAGTTCGATTTCACCAAGGGGACGTTGAGTCCTGGTTTTTGGCCAGATCTGAAGTATCAAATGTCCAATAGAGACACTGCCAAAGTTCCCTGTACCTGATCACGGTGTCCACTTCACGAAGGGAGCCGCCTTGGTGTCTCTCAGCTCGTACCTCGGAAGGAAGATCGAGAGTCGACCATTCCAAATCAGTTTTCTGCGTTTATTTTCTGTAGTAACGAACGGATGATAGAAACTATGAAAAGTAGGGTTATTCTGGGTAATTCCGAGTCAAGAAGATGGGTTAAGGATATCAGGAGGAAGGAGTATCGAACTAGAAACTACGTTATGGTTGAAGACATACATGTGAATTTGGAACACCGCTTTCAGATTCTGCCGCGTCCGAGGAACAGTCACAATTATAACAGAGGCATTGGTTTTAAAGGTCCTCTTACTAGGGTTAAGTTACGCCATTTTCTCCGCTGTTCTGTTGGCGTTGGACGGTTACGGCTAATGCCAGCTGTCTGATACAAGCGCACGCCACCGTCTCCACTGTCTTTTGTCGGTTGGAGGGGTTGTCGTTTTAGCTTGCTTGGCCTGACAGTACGCAAAACCAATAAATATTGCAATAATCCCGGTATTGGAGCACGATGTGGAGTTGAAACCGATATCTCCCTCGTGGCATATGATTATGGTTGATAAGATGCCTAATAAATATAATGGGGCCCCTCTCGTTGCTACCTAGAACCCAACCTTTTCATTCTGTTCATACTTTTGAAACAAAATCCTTCGTTGTATACTCTGGCTTCCCCCCATAATGTCTGTTCCCAACCACAACGAGATATGGCGTCGAGGGGCAGAGGAATTCAGAGGCCAGAGACTGCTGCCTCACGTCGTTGACTATCATGCCCATGAAAATCCCAATCGCGTGTTCAATTCCATGCCAAGAACCCAAAATGTGGCGGATGGGTTTCGAGATTTCGACATGAAGACAATGGCAACCGCGGTCGATTTCATGGCCTGGTGGCTAGATAGCCATTCCAAGAATGCCCCTAAGGAAAAGAAAGTCCTGGCGTATGTCGGAGTACCAGATATCCGATACCCTGTTCTCCTCTTTGCAGCAATCAAAGCCGGATGGACGGTAGAGAATCCGAAATTCCTCCCGAGGCCTGGCATTTCAGCTGATATCGTGATTTGCTAGACATTTTGGATATCGCCACGGAATCCGCCTGATCACAACCTGTATTTGCTGCGTGAGGGGAAAGTGAACCTTCTTCTCTACGCGGATGTAATGGAGCCAGTGGTTAAAGGCATTCAGCAGCTTGACTCTGCCTCTCTGATATCCTATCAGCCAGTACCGTCCCTGGAGGAAGTACTGAATGGCCAATCCCGTCCATACCCTTTTGATGTCGTGTTTGCGGACGTCAAGGATGAAAAATGTCTTGCTATGCACACGTCTGGATCCACGGGTACGATCAGCGCCCTGCACAGCCTTCTAGATGGTTTCTGACTCGGGTCGTAATTCCAGGACTTCCAAAGATTGTGTATTATACACATGCTGCATTCTCCTGTACGGACTCCGACCGAAATATCCCAGTCCCTGAAGGACGTCGGCCACAGAATGCTAAACAGTTTGATTTCTCTCCACCCGGGCGATTCTACTGCTGCTTCCCGCCGTTTCATGTAAGAAGTCTCCCCTGGATTTTGATTGCTTTTGGTTATGAAATAACTAATGAAGCGAAGCTGGGGGGTACAATGGCATTCATGGTTATCCCCGCGTTCTCCACGACTGCTACTGCTGTTTGGGGTCCTTCAACGATGCCACCCAGCGGTCACCTCGTGAGCGCTATCATGAACCACACGACAGTCCGAGCCCTGTATATTCCTCCGTCGACTATCGAGCAGTGGTGGACATGCGACCCGGATGCGCCCAAAAAGGCAGAAGGTCTCGACTTTGTGCTCTTTGGTGGAGGGCCTCTAGCACCCAGTGTTGGGCAGAAGCTCAGCGAATTGACGGACCTGTGTCAAATGTACGGCTCTATTGAGAGCGGCCAGATCCAGATGCTTATCCCCCAGCCCGGAGAATGGCAGTATCTCGAGCCCAACCCTGCCGAAGAGTGCGATATGCAGGAGGTGGAGGAAGGCTCCGGCCTTTACGAGCTGGTGCTCCATCAGGATGAGAAATTCCGCGGGCGACGTACTCTTTCACATACATTCCCGGAGGTGAAGGTATGGCGTACAAAGGATCTCTTCACTCCTCATCCGACAAAGGCAGGGTTGTGGCAATTCCATTCTCGCACTGACGATCTCATCGCGCTCGGCACTAGCGCGAAGGTGTTCCCCGTTCCCATGGAGATGGCTCTGCAAGGAGATCCCAATGTCGCGGGCGCGCTGGTCGTCGGAAACGCCCGCCCAGCAGTTGTCCTTATCATTGAGCCCGCCCAACCCTTGAATGGTGTGAGCAAAGACGAATTTATCGACAAGATCTGGCCCTCGATTGAAGAAGCAAATGCCGCTGCACCGACGCAAGGCAAGATCTCACGATCTCGTATCCTCCTGACAGAACCTGCTGTAGGGTTTGCAAGAACTCCAAAAGGCACCATTGCACGCAAGCGCTCCGACGCTCTTTACACGGCAGCGATCGATGCGGTGTTCAGAGATGGTACTGTGGACGAGACCAACTCGACTACTGCGTTTTAAAACCTTTTTGGGTCGATGAAACGAAGGGATTTATGCAGCCAGATACTCATACCGTGAGAAGCTGTTCAAAGGTGGCCGCCGATATTATGCCGGGCAAGTTGTGGACTAGAAATGCTAGCACTGCGGTTTTGTAGCGGTATAAAATGTTTAGTCCATATAGCCGAACTCCTGGCCGGTCGTAGTAGCGGAAGTTGGCCATACGAATTCTTACGTGGATTATTTATACGATAATAGTGGGAGAAAGCTGCCAGGAACCAAATCCTACGAGACCCACGCATACTAACGTAAATTCTTACTAGAGTGTTTACCCTGGTCCCACCGGTCACTCCCTTGAACGGTTCTCACCACAGTGGGTGTACTATTACCAGATATGATCACGAGCATGTGCGTAGCTTATACTCCAATGATGTGGAGTGACTTTTCTGGTAAGCAGGGCCAACCTCCTTTCGAAAGAGACTGATTTCCCATTTCAGCCCTCAAGTGAGCTTCAGGTCAAATGCATCACTAGTAGCTCTCCTCGAAATAAGTAAACTCCGCTGAACCCTCCCATCTTTGCCCTAGAGTAGACTGGGTCAGGGTAGTGGAGTCATAGTATCGTTGGCGCCCCAATGATCTTGCCCTGTGAGGATGCAGATCTTCACACGGGCCTCTGCTCAGCCTTGTATGCCCTGCAAATCTTAAGAAATAAAGGTATTTCTACTTCCATCTTTAAGGCACCATCGGCGTTCGCCTGTGCGCAGTACCGATTGCACGGTGTGAGGATTCATGATATCTGTGATGGGTAGATTAGTGGCTACTCTGCATTTTTCTATACATGTGAAGCCTAATCAAATATTAATGATTAGTGACTTGTATTTAGTTCTCCCCTTCCAGACGTAGAGAATAGAATATATCCATAGTATGCTTTTTATATAATATTTTACACTCAAGCCGTCACTCTCATCTCAGCTACAGACTCCTGTTTC